TGGAAAGATGAGGCCCCAGGGGAGGAATCTGCCACCACTTACATTTGGGAAAGCAGTATTTTTGTCTAGATTCATCCTAATTGCTTTCCAATGTATATTTTTGATGCCTCTGAATGGCTCGTGTTTAGGAGACTTAGGATAGGTGTTGAATTTGCCCAAGCAGCCTTTGGCAGGGACAGGGGTGTTTTGTTCTGTTTTTGAGGTGAGGTCTTGCTGTGTAGGACAGGTTAGCTTTGAACTCTTGATCTTCCTGCCTCAGCCTGCTCACTGCTAAGCTCCTCAAAGCGCTCTTTAGACACAGTCATCATTGTGCTCACGCACTCATTCATCAGCTCCTAAACCTATGAGCAGACAGTCACATGTGTAACTCTCTTAATATTCTCTTCCTTGGTGAGGTCTAAAAGTTAGGGCTTCTTCCTCCAAACTACCATTCCTGGGGTCCTATCCACCACACCACATAGTTAGGCTTTAGCCTACCACTGAGAGTACACTAGACAACAGTGACATGGGTACCTGGTCACACACTGGGAACTGACAGGAACAGGTTTCCCTCTAAGGGACATGATATTTCCCCTGTTGGGATCTACGGGGCTCACCTTGCTTCATTACACTTGGCTTCAGACGACTACTTTGAGTCTCTGAGACAGCTACCACTCAACAAGGAAAAGGCTTTGAACTCAATTTCCCAGTCCACTGGAGGCTGGACTGAAGGCCAGAGAGCTTATGTGGTTACAAATGAGATAGCTTTAAGATATTAAAACACTGTGGGAATGATTCAGGAGTCCTGCCTGGGCTATCTTCCTCTGGGCAAAAGTTAATGATCTTCAAGAGAACAAACTTGTATCCTGGCTTACACGCCTCAGGAAATTAACCACTCCAATTCACCCCAGAAACGACAGAAGGAAGGAGCGATTACTGAGTTTAAGAAAAGTCTTCATTTTACCCACTGAGTGGGTCATGGACATCTTTTCACACTTTCTTGAGAGAACCATCAAAGCTATTAACAGGTCACTTAAGTTCAGAAACCAACTCTAAAAGCTCCCAGAATTGGAAGGCAATCTGGGAAGATAGCCTGGGCGTGGCCTTCCTGGCAGCTTTGTAGTCAGGGTTCAGCCAGGGAAGATCTAGCTGCAGACTTGCACAATCCCAAGGACCCTCCCCATGAGTGGACCCTGTGCTGAGTTCCTGTTGAGTTTTCAACACCCACTTCCGGTGGCAAAATACATGTGCTGGCCATGGGCCTCTGTCCTCAGCAGGAACAAGAAACAGACTTGAACAGCTATCATCTAGGGTAAAAAGTAACTAGTGCCCCACAGTGAAGATCCCACCCTGTGACAGTTCATATGCATGAGGGAGTCAGAAAAGAAGACAGACTGCCCCCTGTCCTCAGAATGGGCACTTGTTGGGTACATTTCTTCAGCATCTACTGTGAAATATGATGGATATTTTTTCCTTCCATATCCTCCTCACAAATGCTCTAGAATTGCACTTTTTAAAAACACTCGTATTACCTTTATTTAGGGGGAGGAGAGGGGTAGGCTGCAGCACACACACACACACACACACACACACACGGAGGTCAGAAGATAATCTGTGGTAGCCACTTCTCTCCTTCTACCACGTGGACCCGTTTTTAATAGAAAAGAAGCACAGGATTGAGGTGTGCTTGATGGTGTCCCCAAGGTTGCTCTAATGATGAAGAGAAACGGAAGGAGCCAAAGGCAGAGCAGTCTGGGGTGAACAACCCCGCTGTGACCTCATTTCATGGATGATTAGAGCTTGGTGGCAGCACCTTCCTTCCAGTGGAGCTGTTGACTAATTCCTTGCCAAGCTACAGAGCCTCATGGGACACTGGTTGGCAAGCAATAAGACATCCACTGCTGGTCCAGGACTCACAAAGCCATGTCTTGGACACTGATACTGACCTCTGTCTCTGACATCCCTTGGTGTCCTCCAGTAGAAACAGGAAAAGGGGGCTGAAGTGACTCTCAAAGATAAGGACACAAGCCCTAAGCCCTGCTTTTTGCATCCCTCCAGCTGGGCTGGAAGAGCAACACTGAAAATCCACCACGTTTCCATGCCAACAGCTGTCTCCCGGTACCCTGCACCACCAATCCACCTTAACCCAAGGAGTTCTTCATTCTTTCTCTTTCCATCTCCTTAGCCAAACGACTTTAGGAGCCTGACAAAGCCTTCAGAGTAAAGGCTGAGAGGGGAGCCACAACAGCCTGGGAAACACAGGGCCATTCATACAGACTCAGTTTAGACATCTCCACCAGAAAGCCTTCCCTGACCAAATGCTAGCACAGCATATAAAGGCATGCATGCTCAGCCATGCTCCCAGACCTCTGCGTTCCCCTGTGCATGCTACACTGCACGTGGCTATGCTTTTTACTTGTTCTGCATCTGCTCTCTCTGTTTCCAATATTGAGTTCAGTCCACGAAGGGGGCAGGGCACAGAGTCTCCAATCCTGGCTTAATGGTCCTTGTTCACACTGATCTCAGGTCCGATGGAACTCCCTAGAGTCCCCACTGCCAAGGAGAAAAGGAGGGGTACTGAAGGAAAAGGAGCTGAGGGGAATAGCTGTTCTCTAAGAAAAGGCGGGTGTGAGAGCTGGACTTGCAGGACTCTAGAGATAAAGATCATGTCCATTTCTTAGGAATATTTTCAGTATTCAGTATGGTCTCTGGGATGGCTCAGCTTCTAAGTCTTGCCTCCTATTGGTCCTGGGCCTGTAGATCACAGAACAGTGTGCAGGATCTCATGAACAGCAGTCCTGACCTCCATGTACCCAGCTCACTGGAGGCAGGAAATTCCGTGTTATAATAACTGGATTTCTTCCATTCATTCTTGATCCATGACTAGGTAAGCAATTGGTCATTAAAGAACCCATTTAGGCCGACTTCAGGAACAGCAGCCCAGACTCTCTTCTGCCAATGTGCACAAAGAAGGAAATAAACGGAACAAAGAACTCTGGGCACCTCTATTTCCATTGCTAAGCCTGACTTGTGGACAGAAGTAAAAATATTGGAATGTCCCCATCCCTTCCCATCAGTTATCATCGCAGTGAGGATCTCATTGAGCTGAGTTTGATGTTTAAAAACACACGTTTGGAAGCGCAGCTGGCTGCACTCATTTTATCAAACTGATCACATGTGGATCTGAGCGAATTAAAAAAAAACCAGCCCGCACTGTCTAAGGAGCTATGCCATTAAAACAAGTGCTTCTCAAAGAATAGTATTAATAAACGTTTTTAAGTGCATGATGCCCATCAACCTGAAAATTAATCAAAGTAAAAATCAGTGCCAAGTCAGCAACCCTGCGCTACTGCCTAGGGAATGTGTCTGACACACTAGAGATCCAGTCCTGAAAGGCCCTGGTCCTGTCACCCTTCCTGTCCTGCACAGCTGACAGCAGAGGGGACCAAACCCGCTTTCCTTTGTCATTGTTTGTTTTCTAATCAAATGGGGTAAGGAGGTGTTCATGCATATTTGATTCCCTACTTTCCAGAAGAGATTTTGAGGCTTCTGGAAGTTTAACTTTGCTCTTCTCAGTCACCAAGAGAACCATATCCCTCCTGCATGCAATCTGGTCCCTCTCGGTTGAGCAGCAACTTGAGACCCTGTGCCATTCCAGATGTGTGCGGAGCGGCTGGTGTACCCGCATTACTCCTCACTTTGGGTACAATTGTTTGGCGTGGCATCAAACCTGCTGGGTAAATCTAACCCTGTAGGTATGTGAGACCACATACCTAAAAC